TAGAGGAGCAGAAGAAACCAAGAAGAAGAGATGAAGATCTAAAGAAAAACAAAGTTATATTTTGTTATCAGTGTATATGTAAATGCATAGTAAATGACCATTTATAAATGCATAGAAAAGATGCAAAGTTCTATTATTAGTAAGGCAATTGACATTCCACTGTAAGGACGAGTTCTGTAGTTAGCTTAAATGACGCCGGAGCGTCTACTTGCGGCATTTAGAAATGCCTGTGTAGCTCTGTTTGTGTGCCGACAATATAGCCTGGCCATTAGTTATGTTTTCTGTTTTCTCTTATGTGTATAAATAGTTTCCACTTAGAAGAGTGGAGGAGTTTTTTTTTTTTTTGGATTTTTTATTCGTGAAGGGAAATTCTCCTTCCGTAATAAGAGCTCTGTTCTTTTTTCTATTTCCCTGTTTTCTCTATGTATCCTGACGAGACTGTGCAGGTGGTGCAGAATAGGAGATCTAGCATTGACGTGAGCGTGAACCTTCAAAGCAAAGAGGTGGTGGCTGGAACTGACGCCTCCTCCCGAAGTTCTTTTCTCCAGTGTGTGTCCTTGTTTAGTGGCAACGCCGGCCTCATTAAAGTGGCTAAGATTAATGCAGTAAATGGTGATTAAATGCAATTAATTGATTTCACATGCCTATAACTTAATTTAAAAATCAATATAACAAATAATATAATTAATTAACATTTATGTTATACTCATAAAATATTTTTTTGACCACAATTCAGTAGGAACTAAAGTAAACTAAGTAAAGTGATGATTTTGATATCAAAATATCATAAAGTTAAAATAAATTAAAAAAAATAATTATATGTGTGTTTGTAGATATTCCTTGTATCAGAAGTAGAAAAGTAATTATAAATTATGCAATACTTTAGTTTTCAATTATTGATTAAATTATTCGTTAAATTTAAAATATTTTTGCATAAAGAAATAAAGTAATCTAATAACTAACTGAATACAATAACCCTCAAAAATAAGAAAAGTTAAAAATAACATCTAAAAAATGACATAGTCCAATAAAATATTGCATTCAAAATCGATTATCTAAAATAAAATTGAACAAATGATCTTACATTTTTTTAGTTAACTCCAATATCTCAATGATTTTGTTAGCTTTAAGTACTTGAAAAACCATTTTACTTGAGAGAAGCAAAACTTAACATTCATTGAAGACATAATAGTAGTTATAGTAGTAGTTAGAGTGATAACATATTAAATTATATAAGTTGATAGGTTAATTTAATTTTTTTTTTCATGTTATAAGCATTTAATTAGTTATGTTAGTAAAGTAATAGTCATAAGCCATGCATGGCTCATGTAATGAAAATTTATTCATGTTTTAATGGCTTCATAAACACACCAAATGCATGAATGCAAGCAATAGTTTATGTCTTACGAGCATTCTGATCAGCACAAATTAATGAGAATAAATCTAGCTGGCACTCCTTCACTTTTTCATTTTAGCAAATTCATTACCCTCACAGTTATTCCAGCCCACTTCCTTCACGGCTGTGACTGATCACTACCTTATTATTGTATTGGCAGCTCTAAGAAAGAAGCAGTGTGACTATTTTTTTAAAATAGAAATATTCAATTTCATGAACTAATTCAATAAGTTCCATGTCATGTCACTGATACTGATATCTTGATGAAGCTAAACAGTAGGTTTTAGAAATATATCAAATGTTCATATGTAATTTTAGGGTATTGGTGTATTGTGTTACTAGTTCAATTTTATGTGATTATTCATGTATATATTTGTATTAGAGCCAGTTAATCAATACTAATCTGCGAATGAAGGTGATGCATTCTAACCAAAGATATGCATTTTTATATTATATAACGATTTCTAAACTATTTGTGTATTAGCCTTCATATTTCAATAGGGTTTTAGAAGTGCTTCATTTTTTTCTAACTGCAGTGGTTTAAAATGCGACCAAATTAATTGCAACAATTTAATGACTGTTAGAATTTTTTTTATTTGTATTCGCTAGAAGGAATTATTGTAGTGGTTTAGAAACTGCTTTATATTTTGGACGTAGCAATGGTTTTAACCATTTTTTAAAAATAAATAAGAATACTATTCAAATATAAATGAAATGAATATTATCACCATATAAATCTTATGTCCAACATGAAAAAATTAAAAGGAAATAACATTATAGATATTGAAAGAAATTGTTAAGTACTTAGAAGGATACACTAATCATATATAAAAAACAACAAACAAACAAATTTTTTATAGGGTAAATTGAATGCATCTCAAAGGGATATACTAATAACATTCAAAAGAGATATTTTAAAATTAATACGATTTTCAAATCGAAATCATTTATCCTTAAAATTTCAAAGTTTCAGGTCATTCACATTTTGGCTTACAAAAACATACTCCAAATATAAATTCTCATCTTCCAGCATTAACCCTTCCTTAGCAAGCATGTTACAAGTATTTATCTGTATTAAATAAGAGAAAGTTAGAGCTTAACATTCTCGTTTTACCAACCACTTATGAAATTAATTAGCTTTACCCATTTTAGCTTAGCTTCCTAAGATGACCAAAATCCATCCCTATGTATACAATTGATTCATCATAATTATAAACAATCTAGTATTGACTGTAAATTACATAAAGATTAATTTCCTTAATAGCTAGCAATTATAATCTAATCAAATGAAAATCATACCATCTCATGCTCTCTCCTAAAAAAAGCTCACTTGACCCATAGGGCGAGGGCACATTTTTTTGTTTGTTTGCATTTTCATCATTTTTTTGCCTTCTCTTACAATGTATAATGATCATATTATTTTCACAATTTTAAGTTCTGATATAAAGTCAATGAGCTAAATAGGTAATCTTACAGTCTGGAAATACTCGTTTAAACTGTCGATAACTTTTTGAGTCGACACACGCGTTGCTTGATTGGGCGATTTTGCCCCTTTTTGTGTGTGGTTTGATTTGTAGGCGTTAACAGTAATGGAATAATTAAAGAAATTGCAAAATAGTTTTGTTTTCCAAATGATTAAAGTGTTATCGAGCATGAAGTTCCCTTTCTGCTTTAAATTCTAATTTTTGTATATTATTCTATTATAGTGATTAGTGATTACTTGCAATAATTCCTTTACTTTAATATTCTAATAGCACATACTTATGAATATTTTTAATGATACCATGGTCAAATCACAAAGAAATTGCGAATAAACCAAATTGTATTTGATTTAGAGGAACATAGGATATAGGCTTTCTAATGTTCATTAAAGCATACAATTATGATAAGCAATTCATAGTTTGATAGACCACAAATTAAATATAATATTCACTATTTTTTATACAATCAAGAAAATACGATGAATCCATCCCAACAAGTTTCCCATTACATGCCTTAGATTTTTTTTATATCTATTAATTTCTTTGTAACTATTTGAACTTCTGAGGCACTTGATCTTGTGAGATTAAGTGATTATACAAAACAAATCGAAGGCCTCTAAAGGAGAAACTTTCATTACATGATTTTTTTTAATTACACGAGACTGCTCCACACCACAATCCACTTACACGCCAAAAGAAAGAACATAAAACGAATAGATCTACAAATTAGGTGATCAATTGATAGCCTAATCAGCCTTAGTTTAAGTAAAATAAAACAACCCTTCAGATAAACACCTAGAAGAAAAAAAATGTAATCAAAGTCATAAACCGCCGCTTCATCCCCTTCCTCAGATCGATTTCCAAAGCTTTAGGGGTTTCAAAATCAACTGGTGAGATGATGAATAACACTTACATACCTACAAAGGAGTGCCGAAGCAAAATCGTTCTGCTGTTTGCCGGCGGTGTCGAGGCCGATTTCCTTATGGGCACCGTACATCTCTCATCGGCGGCAAATTATTGGGTTCGGATACCGGACGTGTTCGGAGCCCAATGAAAATACCCCACATCACCTACTACTCGATATTGAACAATACCAAGCGGTATCGAGCTTGTTACTGCTCAGTACTGAGCTCCGTACTACTCGGTACTCAGTACTTCACTGTATCGAGCTTAGTACTACTCGGTACTCAGTACTTCACTATATCGAGCTCAGTACTGCTCAGTACTATAAATACCGAACGTAAGCTATGTCAGGTGTCCGAACCCAATAATCTCTCTTGGCTCAAGGCAAAGGAAGCGGAGCGGACCATGTGTCCTGGTTCAAGGCAAGGAGACTAAGCAGGCAAAAGAGACCAAAGAATGAGGTCAAATGTACTGAGCTCGTTACTACTCAATGGGGATGTCGACACCGATCGTGCTATGAGGCATTGATGGTTTGATTGAACTCATACATCATTCAGTAAATTAGTGTCATCCCAATCGGAGCTGTCATACCTCCCTGAGATGTGTATGAGAATTGACTTGAGAGATATGCACCTCATGCACCATAATAATTTGCTTTTTGCATAATTAAGCATCAACCTAAGTTCATAAATTGAATAAAATGAATGATGGCAATACGAAATATATAAATTAATTTGTATGTTTAAAATTAGAATAAAATTTACCTATGGTTTTGGCATAAGGTAAGACGGAGAGTGCCTGAAATCAAATAAAAAACTTCTTTAAGTTGAATAAAAAAGACCAAGCTATACATGAAAATTTTCTATCTCCAAAATTTTAACTTCTTAATCTTTCTTTTTACAAAATTCAAAAGTATGTCAAATATTTAATTTGGTAGGGTAAAATTCACCTTCAAGAAAATTGTTGAGATGATTAGGTTTGGCTTTGTTGTAAAAGAGGAGATGCCATGAAACACAATCTATTAGCAATCTCAATGAAGCAAGGCCTTTTTGATGGTTCTGTTGATCAACACTGTTCCATCAAGCTTCTCCACTCAGGGTCACAAGATTCTCGAACTGAAGGCCTTGGAGTGTTGCCAACTATTCCATCTATTAATAATGCTTATTGTTAATTACATGTGATATTAGTACAACAAAAAATGATGTGAGATAGAATGATACCTACAATATAATTGCTTCATCAGGTATGCTAGCATATGACTCTTTGCCCATAAGAAGCTCCCACATCACAGTATCAGCTAAAAGAAAATACCTCAACCTAGGTTAATGATACAGATATTAAAAATAATTTAAGATAAATACTTATTGATTTTTTCGTGCATTTGAATTTTTATACATACCTTTTCGGAGACAAAATCTTCTTCCATTCATAAGCTAAGGTGTCATCCAAGGGATTGTTCCACATGCATTGACACATGATATTAAGGTGCTACACTTAACTTTTGAAAGGCCAAAATCACCGACCTATAAATAAATTAATCCACAAAGAATTATCCATTAATATATTCGAGTATTCGACCAATATAAAATGATTCTAATTGCTTACTTGTCAGGCAGCCTATGTAATGCTCGCATAAGAATTGTGCATATTTATTTGCATAATATTATACATATCATTACAAAAAATGGAAAGAAATTATTATCTTTTGAAACAACGCATAATTTTAGAAAATAATCATAAGGTATTAACTTCACTAGGTTCTTCATCCTAATCTCTTGATATATATCTTTTAAAAAATGAAATTATGACATTGTATTACAATTAATAAGTTACAGCCACAACAAATTAGAAAACAAAACAAAAAATAGTCATAACATATATACACAAAGATTTTCATGGGTTGTTTACATGAAAACATAAAAAATAATAAATCTTGAAATAAATACAATACTAAAAATGAATTAATACCTCGCATATTGGTCGATTAGGATCCCTCAAGTTAACAAGCAAGTTGTCACTTTTCAAATAAAAAAGAATAATATTTTGATCGTGTAGATATTCCATCTCAAAACCCACATCTATGGCAATTAATAGTCGTTTCCTTTTATCAAGAAACCTGCTTAAATTCAATATATAATTTATCCATTACAATGAAAAATATATGAGTACAAAATAAGATAAATTAGTGGTGCAAGGTGCATTAAGCTAAAATAAACAACATACTCACTATAGTTTATAAGTGCACTTCGTGGTGAACCGTCAACCATATATTTAGTGATGGTTGCAAAAGATCCCTCAGGGCCATCCCAAACAATACCATAAAATGCTATAATATTTGAGTGGTGCAAATTAGTAAGAATGAACATTTCATCTTAAAAGTCAGCTCTCTAAGAATATGATAGACAATGACATATAGTTAGAATTTCAAGAATGAGATGATAAAACAATAGAGAAATTTTTCTTTTTTTTTGCATTTGAAAGACATACTGTCCGTTCTCGTATCCAAGATTTTCCAGCAAAATATATATATTGGATATTCTTTATGGCAACATCAGCTCCTCTCCATTTACCATGATAGACTGCTCCAAAGGTTCCTGAACCTAGTACTCGCAATACGTCAAGGTCGCAATTCTTTGTTTTCTACAAAAATGTGGAATATCTTTAAAACTAAATAATTAAATTTAAACTAAATATTTATATAATTCATATGTATCATATATACTATATGCAATGTGTTTTATATATGCCATAGGATTCATGTGGATTCTATATTCTTATACCGGTCTTATCAATCATACCACGTACATATATCAATCATGTTTTGTATCATGTCATATCAATTGTGCAAATTTAACATATATACAAGATAGGACATCTAATTACCTGTGATATGAGACTGATTTTATAGCTCATTTCCAAGTATCCAGTCAAGCGGAGGAGATTCATTTTTCCTCTTTAGTTCTTCTTCTTCCTCATCTTCATCCGAAATGAGGCGCATGATCTGCTCTTCAATCTCCATGTAAAAACTTTCGTTGTCTTCTTCACTTAAGTTTCTCTCTATGCCACGAAAAAGGATTGAAGGCAGGTAGTACTCGATCGGAAAACAACACGGGCCAAACTCGACTATTATGGGAGCAAAATGGAGGAGCAATGGTATATATTTGTTGGGGACTCTGAAAGGGTGAGAAGAGATGTGTTATGGATGAAAAGACCAGTAAAACATTTTCCAGGTAAACAACTCACTTGATCAAGCTGACAAAGGATATAAAAAAAGTCAGATTTGATTGAGGATTAATACATATCGAATAATAATTATATTTTATTACATATTTTAAAGTTCAAATTTTGCCTCTTTTTTTTTGCAAAACAATTAACGTTGTCACTTGTTTTAGTTTATTTTATTGGCTTAATTCCTTGTCGAAATGCTTAGTATGCATGGTTTTAATCTATCGTCTTTGGTTAAAATATATTTTTGCACACAGATTTTACTTTCCAGCGTAAAATAAAAAAAACTTTTGAGTTTCAAAAGTTACTGCTTTATTTGGTTTTTGGAAAATTTTTATTATTATTATTATATATATATATATATATATATA